AAACAATGCTATGTGAGCGTGGAGAAGAAAAAATAATGGAGAGATGAAGTAACATGGGTGGAAACTGATGAGGTGGCTAGATGATGATGTGGATGGGATGCATGTTAAGAGAATTGGTAGTAGTGGAGATCAACTTCTTAAGAATGTAAGATTAATCTAATGGTAGCAGCTTTCACTACAGGACTAAAAGTGTCCTCGTAGTCAATTCCATACCTTTGTTTAAACCCCTTGGCGACCAGGCGCGCCTTATACCTGTCAATACTGCCATCAGACTTTCTTTTTACCTTGAATACCCACTTGCAGTCAATCACATTCCTACCCTTGGCAGGAGGAACCAAGTGCCATGTGTTTTTTTTTCATGAGACCAGCATACTCTTCATCCATAGCATCCTTTCACTTGGAGTCACCAAATGCTTCTCCTAGATTTTTCGGTTCACCTATAGCACAGAAAGATCCCCAACGAATGCAACCATCCTTATACATTTTGGGTTGAGAAATGCCACTCTGTGACCTGGTGTATGCCCGCACAGGAGGAGGCGGAGCAATGTGTTGTTGAAGCCGATTGGACGCAGAAGACACAACCGAAGAGTTAGCCGTAGAAGATCCATCGTTCGACTCCTGTAGAGGATCCGAATCTGCATGCAGCAAACCGCCAGACGCAGAGGTCGCCTCCTCTCCAAAAACACCAGGTAGCGAGTCCTGGCTGGGCTGCGGTGCACCACCACTCAGCCTTGTCGCGACGCCAGATCCACGTGCGGGGGTCTCGCCCGGGTCTGCCCGCTGATGGGCTGAGGGAGGCCGACCAAGCCCACATGCGGTGGACCCACCTGGTCCGCTTGGCGCAAGCTCATATCCCGTCGGGGATTCGCATGTCAGACCTGCAGAGCGGGATCCCGAGGAGATACTCCCGCCAGGATCAGCTCCGGGATTACGGCTCGGATCGTCTGTGCCAGTTTCACCTGTATTTTCTGGTTGCTGCATAAAATCAAAGGAATTGTCGCCTATTTCCTCGCCAGTTTCCTTCACACTTTCAGCAGAGCTTTGTGCACGAGTATTAGACATTGACATATGATCATCAAGACCTAGTACACCCCAGGAACATAGGTTGCTGAAGGAAGAAGATGTGATGGAAGGAGGACAAGTTCCTTGCGAAGTTGTGCGCTGACATTTGGATGGAGTTGTGCAAATGGAAAAACATGCTCGGCAAACACCACATCGCGAGAAACATAAACCCGTCCAGTAGAGACATCTAAGCACTTGTGCCCTTTGTGAAGGCTACTGTACCCTAAAAACACACATTGTTTGGACCGAAATTCAAGTTTGTGTTTGTTGAAGGGACGTAGATTTGGCAACACCGCACAACCAAAAATGTGAAGGAACGAATAGTTCGGTTTAGTGCCAAAAAGACACTCAAGTGGTGTTTGGTTGGAGATGACTCTACTAGGAATACGGTTTATAAGGTAAACTGCCGTGAGAAAGGCCTCATCCCAAAACTTCAAAGGCATGAGCAAGAAGGGAGAGGCCAACCTCTACAATGTATCTATGCTTTCTTTCAGTAGAGCCATTTTGCTGATGGGCATGAGGGCAAGATACATGGTGGGTGATGCCAATATGTTCAAAAAACAAATGGAGTTTTTGGTATTCACCTCCCCCCCCCCCCAAATCGGTTTGCATAGCAAGAATTTTGCGAACAAAAGGACGTTCAACATGCTTTTTGGAAGAGATGGAATTTCTCAAACACATCAGACTTATTCTTGAGTAAATAAACCCAGCTAAACTTACTGAAATCATCAATGAAGCTCACATAATATTTTTGTCTGCCTACAAAAATTGGTCCAAGACCCCACACATCTGAAAAAACAAGCTCTAAAGGGGCTTTCGACTCACTAGTAGACCTAGAATAAGGAAGTTGATGGCTCTTGGCCATTTGACATGCATCACGAACCAAATGATGATCTCGTTTATTTGACACTGGAAGACTAAAATCGCGAACAATTTTTTGGACCACCGATAGTGAAGGATGCCCTAAGCGTTTGTGCCACCGTGAAGTAGATGGTTTTGCAATGCCTAGCACTTGACGATGAGGAACACCCTGACGACCGGATACGGGAAACAGGCCACCTCTACTCTTGTTTTGAAGAATGGTGCTCCGAGTGGCCCGATCCTTGACAAAGAAAATTTTAGGGTAAATGTCAAGAAAAGCATGATTGTCTTTAATAAGACGATGAGAGGAAAGTAAACTTTGGTCGGCTTGTGGAGCATGGAGGATGATGTTCAGTGCTAAGGAAGAACCATCAGGGGTAGTAAGAACTGAATGACCAATATGTGCAACATCCAGACCTTGACCACTTGTCGTGTGGATTTGTTCCGTGCCGGTGTAACGATCATGAACGGCGAGCTTCTCCAACTCTCATGTCACATGGTCAGTGGCGCCGGTGTCAAGATACCAATTGGTATCAACTCCATAGGAGTGAGCTGCGTTGGCAGAGCGATGTCCTCCACCACTTCCGCCTCCTCCGCCACCGCCGCCTCCTGCGCGGTTGCAGACGTTGTTGTAGTTGCGGTCAAAGTATTTCTTGCAACGCCACACGTCGTTCCCTTCGAGCTTGCAGATCTGGCACTTCTTGCGCTCGCGGTCACCACCTCCTTGCCGCGGCCTACCTCCAAAGCCGCGGCCGCCGGGATTGTCGGCGTAGCGGGCGCCCCCGTTGTTGTTGCTGTAGCCATGGGAACCGCTCCTCCGCCGCTGTTGCCGCCACCAGGGCGGTTTGGGTTGCCGTGACCTCCACCCCTTGCCGCCAGATTGGCGTAGTGGAAGGCGGTGTTCTGGGCGGCGATGCGAGCTTCAGTCGCCAGCAGCAGGGAGAAGAGCTCGCTGAGACCGATCAGTTGTTTGGTGGCGGTGCGGGTGGAGATGGCCGAGATGAAGCCGTTGTAGCCAGGTTCGTGAAGGAGACCTTGCAGGATGTGGTCGACGATGTCGTCTTCATCCAGGGGCTTGCCGGCGGCTGCCAGCTCGTCGGAGATGCTCACCATCTTGGTGAAGTAGGTTGCGGCGGACATGTCCCCTTTGCACGTGTGTTCGATGGCGGAGCGAAGCTGGATCACCCTTGCCCTCGACTGTGAGGAGAAACTCTGCAGCGGGGCGTTCCAGATCATGGCGGCGGTGGTGTAGGAGCTGACCTGCAGGAAGACCTCACGGGAGAGCGATGAGATAAAAAACGTGAGGATTTGCTGGTCTTGGGTAATCCACACATGGTGCTCGGGGTTTGGCGAAGACGTGATCTCCTTCTTGCCGGAGACTTCCTTCTCTTAGAGGATCGCAGCGGGAGGCTCCTTGATCGAGCCGTCCAGATAGCCCATCAGCCCTACCCACTTGATGTGTGGCAGGACCTGTGCCTTCCAGACTAGGAAGTTCTCTCGGGTCAGTTTTTCAGTGATGGTGTGACAGAGAGAGGCGATGGAGGGCACGACCATGGCGACAGATGAGAAGGAGCTCAACATCTAGATGCGATGGAAAAGGTAGGCTCTGCATACCATGTGAAAAATAGGTTAAGTGTATGCCTAGCAGGGACGCATTGCGTGTTAATATAGGGCCGAACCCTGGTTGTTACAGAGGAGATTTACATGACGTGGATTGTCCTCCAAGGACTCAATCACAACGGCCTAACAACCTATACAGAATACAAGTCTATCCATACGGTTTATACAATACCGCAGGTTACAATGTTTAACAACAAGGGAGGAGAAGAAATAGTGGGAGCGAACGGTGCCATATCTGCAACAACGAGGGGAAAAGGGGTAGGAATTTGAGGCACGGAAGGAGGTGTATCGGGAAATGTGAGAAAAGAGATGTCTGTTGACGAGGATGGACGCGGGTAGAAAGAACAAGACTCATCAAAGTCACATTCCGGGAAATATGTATCCCTGTCGACCGACAGAATCCCAACACCGATAACCCTTATGCTCATTGTTGTATGCATGTATCCTAAAAAGACAAGCTCTCGTTTCTTTTTGGATTGCCTTGGGCCGGGCTGATCGACTGACTCAGAATTTGGTCAGTCGGTTCAGTTCACACTTCACACAGAAGTTGGTTCTGATCTTTAGATCAGAATCCAACGGCAGATCAGAATTCGACTCACCCAAATTCTGAATTCAGTGCCTATAGCCATTCCCTTTCATAAAAGAAAACTGGAATGAATGAGCCTTCTAAGTTTACTATGTGAATCCTAGGAGAAGTAGTAAAGGGTACCACAAGTCCAGAAAGTGAAGCGCACTTCTCTCTTATTTTTACGTGAACAACTGAACATCGACCTTCCTTCTGCTTTACTCGTGTTCATAGACCAGCCGGCCCGGCCGTGCTAGTTTCTCAGCATCGGTCGTCCCTGCCGGCCTACCGGTCAGCCATGGCGTTGAAGGTGAACTCCGACCCTTGGAGTGCATCCTCGACAATCTTGTCCAGCCGCGCAGCCATCGCCGGCGTCAAGTGGTTCCTCCAGTCGCCGGCGACCCCCTTCCGGAAGAAGGACTCGTTCTTCACGTACAATTGACCACCATTCTTGTTCACCTCCATGTTCTTCAAGGCGTCGATGCTGCAGAGCTCCACGATGTCCCGCACCACCCCCGCGGCCTCCTCCCCGTCGGAGAACGCGCACCCCATGAACTCCGCCAGCTTACTTACGTTGCCCGCCGGGTCCCGGAGCATGTCCTCGTACTGGAGGAAGAGCACCTTCTCGGGCCGCCTCCGGCTCGCATCCCAATAGCCGGCAACGTGGTGCCACTGCGGGCCGCCCATAGAGCGGCCATGGCAGTAGAGCTCGAACGCGTCCTCGATCGCGAATGGCGCTGGAGGTGGCGGCGGGTCGCCATTGTTGTCGGCGTCAGCGGCGGCCTCCATCATCTTCTTGGCGAACATCCACGTGGAGACGAAGGCGTCCTTGGGGTCGCGGCAGACGTACACGACCTTGCATCCGGCGCCCTCCGCGGTGACCCGCTCCGGCAGGAGCGGTAAGGGATGTGGGTGGCGATGACGCGCGGCGAAGGGTGCGCCGCGAACACGTCTCCGCCTCTGATGACCGGCGACGGCGAGAGCGCGAAGAGCCCCTCCAGGAACTCGACGCAGTCGTGCGGGTTGCGGCAGCGGAGCGGGTGATCGGGGGCGCGCGGCGGGTGGTCATCGCGGCGAAGGCGAGGGCCTTGAGCCAGGTGGTGCCGGACTTGGGGAAGCTGGCGAGGAAGACGTCGGACGGCCTGGGCACGAACCGCGCGCGCGCGGCCACGACTCCCGGGAGGATCGGCTCGGGCCACCAGAAGCCGCCGTACCGCCTGAGCGGCGACGGCGGGCACCGCGTCTCCAGCGGCAGCTCGGCCATGTGGACGTCGTCGGCGTCGGGGGACGCTGCCATTGGTCGCGCCGCGCCGTGCCGTGCTGCCGGTGATCAAGTAGAAGTAGGGCGTGTTAGGTAGGTATGTTGGTGTTGCTCTCTGCCATCTTGGTATGATGCTCTTTGCAAGATGAGCTGTCGCGCTCTGAGTGGTTTAACATTTCAGATCCAGACGGGAAATGACAACACCCATGTGGCCTGTGTGATGTAGGTCGGGCCTTAATTCGACGAAAACTCTGTTTATCAAAATAAATCACACGTGGAATTCACTTCGATTCTTTCTTGGAACTAATTGATCGCATTTCCAACATTCATTAACCAACAATAATAAAGTTCAAGTATTACACCACCCAGAAACGCCACCTCGCAAGCCTGAATCCGTCAAGAGGTACATTTCTGAAAATACAATGCAACTATGGCTTGCTGTGAATATGTTTAGATACATGTTTTTCAGTTGAGAACCTTGGGCCTCTGTATGAAAAAAGAGAGCATTTTCATGTGAGAAGTTTGCCCTGAACTGTCTATACACACACACACACACACACACACACACACACACACACACACTCACTCAATGTAACCTTTTTCATCGATTTGGACCGCACGTGAAATCTGGATCTTCTACCAAGTTGATAGTACGCTCAGGATTTGGACCGTGCAGTTCGAAGATTACCTGCCAAAAATAATGAAATGTAAGAGCATGTGTCACTTGCTAATAGCATTCCTGCCAAAGAACTAAATTTCTCTGTGCATTTGAGTTCTGGGATCAGTGTATGGAAGGTATCTCTTTGCCATATGACATAATAAACAGCGAATGTAGAAAATAGTTAGAAAGTACATACAACAATGTTGTCTCCAGATCTGAGGATTGGAGCAGGAACATAAAGAGCACACTGTGGTCCCATTACCTACAAAACAGGTCCGATTTCAGATCACTTTTGAGCGTAACAAAAATTCTTTGCAGAACTGGAATTCATAAAAACAGTTTGTCAGGTGGAGGTCTCAGTATTTTACCGGCCAGAACCTTCCGATGTTGAAGTTGTTCACAAAAGCAACCCCTTTGTTCCAACCACGGAATGATATGAATGTATCCTTTACCGTGCTATTGGAGTCAATGTGGAAATGGCCTTCATAAAATTCTGGCTCTTCTGATTTGCCTTGTCATAATACAATGCAAAGATATTTTGAGTAGCGGTGCAGTATATTTTTCAAAAAACTCATCGGATGTGCAATCAAAGTACAAATGCAACACTGGAACATGTGCATTACCGGCTATGAAAAGGTCAACACAAAAGTATTAAAATTCAAGATGCAAACTTTTGGTTACAGCAATTTTCAGGTTTCAACAATATTGATCTAAAAAGAGAGCTCCAGAGATCCACTAGCTTTTCCTGAACTAGCAACAAATATGACAAATAAGGCAAATGTTTCCAGGAGATTAAGTGCAATTTCAAAGCCCATTATATCATGAGCCATTTTAAGTTTTTAACCAACTGACGATGACTAGGAATCAGTTATGCCTGACTTTCCCATGAGCATGACTGCACCGGAATCAGTTGTGTTTAACTATTTAAAAGGACCATATACAGGGGCTTACCATTTAGATAGAATGACAAATCACGTAGCTTATTTTGTGAACCACCATGACTGGACACTTTGCTAGCTCTGGCATCAGTGATCTGCTGGATTGGTTGGAATTTCGAAAGGTTTTCCAGTAAATTGAACGATAACGGGTACATTTTCCAGTGATGGAGAGTCACACCATCTATTTCAACAGTAGATAATATCCCCTGTATTTGTCAATTCCGTAATGATCAGCACAAGAAGCTTACAAGCATGGTCCATGTGGATACTGCAGCATGAGCGAGGTTACGTGGGAGTGTGGGACTTACCTTCTGATCAAAAATGTATGGCCCATAATTTACACGGCCCATATTTTCTACCTGTAGATAGAACGCATATATATGTAGGTAAGGCAGAAAACATGAATTAATATTATTTATTCGAAAGGAAGGTTGCAGAAGTAATAGCTAATTGTACTCTGATACTTATAAGTACTAAGTAACAGTAGTTTATCATGTTATCTTTTTTGGCTAGGCTGATACTTTCCACATGTGCAGATCTCTAAATAAGTGTTAGTTGAATTTTAGGCTATCCAGTTATGCAAGTCAAAATGTTACAGAAGCATGCCATGCCTCCAGTCATGGATGTATACAGAAGGTTTAAACTGGAAATCATGCAATCATCTTTTACCAAGTCATTGTCATGCCTATGGCTATACACATTACACAGGCACAAGCCAAATCGGCTTCTACCAATACATTTTTAGGAGTCTCTACCAATCTATTCCACATCTCAAAATTCACTGAGTTTGATTTGAACTAAGTAGAGTAGCATTAGTAGACTGTGCAACAGTTTCCTCAAGAACATGAGAATAAGAGCAGGATTATGTAATATTGTGTCAGCAACTGTAACATCTACGGAAGCAAGGAGATTTTCCATTTTATACTTTACAAAAGAAATTCATGACTATTACCAGGATAGATAAGCGGATATTAGAAGAGCAGTTTAAGGTTGGTATCTGTAGGGTTTTACTAGACCATCTTTCAATAACGCCAGCATATATTTGATTTCTGACGTCATCAAGTGAGCATGACACAAACACCTGGGCTCTGTCATGTACCTACAGCATAAATTAGACCTAAAAGCAATGAACTTGAATGCATGTCAACGAAAGAAATGATGAGTAGGAAAACCTTTGGAATTGATAGGATGCTGTAAGGACCTTTTCCTTGGTATTCCGACACATACAGTAGAAACCCAAACATCTGGAATAAAAGAAATGTAACCATGAACATAGTGAACCTGCTTGACAACTTCTAGAACGGAAAAGGAAGCAGAGTCCAGAAATATACTTGGATAGGTTCCTACCTGGCCTGTCAGTTCCATAGACAGAGGCTGTTCTGAAACAGCCACTTTCAGTGGATCACAGATCTTATCAAATATGTCAAAGAAAGAAGCAACCTTTTGTAATTTCACAAGCCCATAACTTGCTCTTTCAATGTCGGCAGGAAGTGGATGCAGAGGAGTGCCAGTGCATTCATGTATTACTCTTCTCAATGCTGCTTGATACCACCAAGTTGTAATCAGAAAAACATAGACAAACAGTAGTTTAAAAATACATCTCAAGTATAAAATTTCTCTAAGACTTTTAGAAATTCAATAACTTTTGTCTAGTACTAATTCTTGTTCTTGTAGGAGCTCTAGGACCTTCTTTATTATTTTTATATCTTTTAGTCTTTTCCTTGTTCAGTTTTGCAGGTTTTGCATGGTTATTCTTTCGCCTTCTTGGTTTCCTGTAACTCTGTGTTATTTCAACGCGTACAAAATTACACGCATTTCAATGTGTGGTTGAGAAAAATACTTTAAACTGGTGGTTACTACACCTGCTCGTCAACTATGGCATACAGATGATGCATAGATTAGGGTATGCCATTTAAGACCTATCGCGTATTTTTCGTTTTAACTCGTGGTGATAGATGGCAAGCAGAGCCAAAAAAGAACAAACAAAACAGTTATGTTTTCATGTCAAGAACTGAATAACTAAAGCAACTATTTTAGGAGAAACTGGAACTTCTGATAGAACCATCATGCTTCAAATAGAAAAGTTCAAATGTAATATAGCATGCCTTTGTATTTGGGATTATGCACGTCTCCATGCTCCTTAATTGGCGCATCCTGGTCAAAGACATTATATAAATATAAGATACCTCCAGAAATGGTTTAAGAAATGAAAGAACCGATTTGGCGAAGTACTTGCATAATCGTAAGATGTAAGGTCTGCCTTATACTCGTATTCAGTTTGACCAGTATTTGCTCCATTGTAAAACCCAAAATTTGTCCCTCCATGAGCCATCTGGAAACAGATCTCATGAAAAACAGAATTAGTAAAACTAAAATGTAAATGAAATGCAGTGATAAAGGGGCTCTCGTTACAGACATAGAGTACAGCAGAACCATTGCGGCATAGAATACTTTTAAGAGCTTTAGCTGTGCTGCTGGCATCTGTTGTTGCAATACTCTCACCCCAGTGTGTTAGCCATCCGGTATAAAATTCCCTGAAAAGTAAAGAGGAAATATCAGTAGTACAAGTTACATCCGAAAAAATAATAGACGAGTGATATAATATTAATCATGGTGCACAGAGCCACAGACCACTTACGCACTTAAAGGGGCTGATTTTCCCGGTAAGTTGTATTTCTTCTGTAATCTGAATATTGGCCATGGATCATCACCAGTTGAAAAATCAACAGCTGCACTTGAATTATAACTATTTGGAAACTGGTAACTGGGGAGAACCAAAAGCATACTACTTGTAATAATTATGAAATTAGGAAGATAGAATTATTTTCTGCTTCAAAAGTGTTAGGAAACCATACTCAAGTGGATATCAAATAATCTTCATAATCTTTAGCAATATCAACAGAGAAGTCATTGTACACGTTAGCATTTAGCATCGCTCACCATGCATATAGTAAAAAATGACAGTGCACTTTCAAGGATTACATAGATAGCAAATTTCTGTGTGTGGGGGTGGGGTGGGGGGATTGAAAATATAGGGTTATTGACTGAAAGAAACTTGACTGTATCACCCTAATCCGTCATTGAGTACCACATAAGCAAGTATATTGAAACCCTTTTGGGTGAGCTGGGACCAAAGTCCACGTGTTGCTACGCGCATGACCGCCAAACATGCGGATGAGGAGCTTTAACCGAATTTTGGGTCTAGGGTGTTTACACTAACATCCACGTCATAGTGTTTTTTTACAGAAAGAACATCCACATCATCACAAAAGTCATTTAGTCTAATTTACCAGCGAAGACATCATCTTGAAGAATTGCTCCATTCTTTAAGGTATTAGTAGTGCCCCCATCAGTTGTATACCTAAAAGATTATTTGTGAAACTCATAATTGCGACTTTGATAACCACCGTTTACAAAGGAACAAACATATTGATGCTATCTTTCAGAAGGTTTTCTCTAAACTAAAATAAACAAATTAATAGAAAGATCGATCAGATGAGAGCATCACGGTGATTTTTTATCAACTGGATATCTTTTGACTCTCTTCTTATTCTGGTTTGTCATTGCAGAATGCAAGTACGTTAATCTAAATGTAAAGTGTCAACAAAAGGCAGGTCTTGTATGAAATCGTTCTTGCTTATTATAGGAGGAAACTGATAAGCAGGACAAGAGTATTATTCCAGTCCAATTCTGAATGCAAAATAAAACAAATAGAATTAGACTATAACAAACATGGTGCTAGTAAATGATATTTGTGCAGTTAAGGTTTATAACCTCCCACAAAGGGAACTGCTAGCAAGGCCAATTTCGATGTTGTATGAAATTTCACCACTACCATGCCTAGTAAGTATGCAAAATTACAGTTATACCCTAAATAACTTTGTACATAATCTATAGAATAAGTAATAAATTTAGCAGACAATAATAAGTGGTAAAAATTATGAGAAGGGAAACTGCGTACAGAACAATGTCATTCCCCAGATATCGTCTGGCCAACTGAACAAGGTAATGAAGGTAATTCTTGTCATCTCCAAATGAACCAAATTCATTTTCAATCTGCTAGACAGGGGAAAAAGATTAGTTACTTGTTAGCAGGATAAAACAGAAACGAAAATGGATATGAAGTGGTTAACCGATTTAAACCATGATTGACTTGCCTGCACCATGATAATTGGACCTCCATTCTCGTATAACAGTGGTGCTACTTTTGGGAGCAAGACTCTCCACCATCTCTCTACCTATAGAACTAGCTAACCTTGGTCAAAATAGCTCCAGAAAATCCCAAAGCAATGATGGCAGTATCATACATAAAACCCTGAAATTGGTGATGTTTTGGGCAGCTTACCAAGGAAAGATAGGTTGCGTCTGATGATCGTAGTTTAAGGGCTGGTTCTATGGTGAGCAACCATGGTGGAAATCCCCCTAAATCCCATTCTGCATAACAGCTTCAAGAATTCATAGATCACATCGGCAAAAAGCTCAACTGAAGGGCATGAACTATCACAACCCAATCAACTCCAAATTCTGAAACTATATGGAATCTGTACTAATACAAAGAATTTCTGAACCGGGCATAACAAGTTCGGAACTAATCGTAGTAAATCATAGCATGAGAAAATGATGGTTTCTGTTCTTGATCAAGTGGAAGCATTTTACTCTTTGCTTCATCAGACAGGGTCACAGAAAACATCTGACATGAGGACCGACTGTAGACACTACGACTATTGTTAGTCCTTTGACTTTTGCAGGGTTATTTTGTAAGTAAAAGAGCTAGAAGGCCTTATCAGACATAAAACCAGCAGACTATGAAATACATATTTCAGAGGAAGAAGGGGTGACTATTTCGATTATTTAGAATATTTGTCCGAAGTTTATAAGTCTGCTTAGCCATGTCTTTAGTATTCTCAGTACACAGATACAATTATCTTGATAGTCATATTGACATGCTGAAATTTCAATAAGCTATGAAATTACCTCCACAAATATATGGACCTACACGAAGCATGACGAGCATTTCTAATTCTTGAGCAAGTCTTAGATACGATTCAATGTCAGCGAAGCCCTTGAATTCCCAGCTCTGTGGTTCCGGCTCGTGCAAATTCCAAGGAACATATGTTTGGATTGTGTTCAGGCCTAGTGCCTTAGCCCTTAAAAGGCGATCTTTCCAGTACTGCACACAGAGAATGCAACGTGCATGTAAGCTCGCAATAAGATATCTGGAAGAACATAAGCTTATAAATGGGCCATGGTCTCTAGATACAAACCCAGATAACAGAAACATTTATTTCCCTATCAATAAAGAAAAATCATCTCGGATAGCTTATTCAGTCATTTTATAAGCTGGGTGTAGCAAAAAATAGACTGCAAGTATGACAAAAAAAATGCTACTCCCTCTGATCCATATTAATTGCTAAACCAGCGACAATTAATATGGATCGGAGGTAGTAAACTATTCCAAAGAGAAGTCGCAATTTCATCAATCAATCACAGCCATGCAAGCTCAAGGTCACCCGATTTGTTGAATACAGTCTGTGATAGATTGAACACACTGTATAGAATTATTAGTAAACTAGTAGTAGTACCGAATTTCTGAAATGCACCAAAATTCTGTGCGAACATGTACAGAATTCAATTTCTGTCAGAACTAAACCTACAACACATGTACAGAACTGACTGAATTCGTGATTACTGATACTCTGGAATGTGCCAAAACCACCAATCTATCAGTCGAACCTCACTTGTCATCGCGAATTAACTGACTGAACCACTCCACTCCAGGCTCTCTAGCAGATCGCAGTGACATGTACAGTAATACCAGTTGGAAGAGGGGGGATTTATTCACCTCGGGGACAATGCGGAAGTAGTGCACGTCGCCGCCGACGATCTGGAACGGCGCCCCGTCCTTCCAGAAGGCGTCGTCCTCGATCCAGAACCTCCTCGGAGCCTCGCCGTGGACCTGGCGACACCCGCACCGCACGGCGAGTCAAGCGCCACCAAGACCAAATCAATCCAAATCCCGAACAAGCGAAGGATCGGTCGACGCGAGGGAGAGCGCGCGCGCGTACCGTGGATGCGAGCGCGGAGCACAGCGACAGCGCGAGGAGAAGAGAGAGCCCCCCGAAGCCTCCGGCGGAGGCCATTGCTTGGCCCCAGTGGACTCTGCTCGACTGCTCGCCCGCTGCTGCTGCTGAATTAGTGGATTCTTTCCAGCTCTGCTCGGTTCGGCCACGGGCACGGGGAGGAGGCGCCCGCGACCGCGTGCGCCGGAGTGATGGCGGTCGCCGGCGCTGAGGTGGTAGGTAGGGGAGGGGAGGGGAGGGGCGCGGCTGCGGTTGCCTGACGCTGACGGAGAAGCGGACTGGCACTTCGGTCTTCCGGGTTCCTGCCGCTGTTGTTCTGCTCTGTCATTTTCTTCAGTATAATAAATAAACTGTTGTGCTGTGTCGTTGCCTGGTGGGAGATGCTGTTTATCCAGATTTTCAGATTCTTTCGTATATCGACGACGTGACGGCACCTCAACTTTTTATTTACTGTCCCTCAAAAAAAAATTTTACTAAACTATGAGCCGCGATAAACCGGAAATCCAGTTTGGGTCTGGGAGCATCGTGCAAAAAAATCCCAACGAAATTTAAATTTTTATGTATTAACTAGCATCCAAATGCTACCTGCAAAGTTTTAGGCAAAAGAGTTGAACATTTTGGGCTATGAAAAAAACAAATTGAACACTAAATGTTACCCAAAAATGTCAACCCTAATTTGTGTTTCACCGACGAAACAATACTGCTCCATTTCACATGAGAATTGTCTAGCATGCTTGCAACATTTACACGAACATCCACACAAAAGATAGAATTTTAAAAAACATTTTACCACTTTTGTTTAGGTGTTGTTTATCTGGGAGGCAAAACGCCTCCCCGAGACTAAGTTGCTTTTTTATGCACGTTGAAATGTGTGGGCATTCTACCTAAATATTTACGGACAATAATTAGACATGAGTTGTCTATTTTATTTCATTTTACATTTTTTTTGACGTTTACAAAAAAATATTTTGGAGGACGGAGCAAATGCTCCCGGAGCCGAATTGAATATCCAAAGATGAGACTGAATTGAATATCGGTTGATATACTGCCTGCAGTACCATAAGAAAAATAACTATTCACAAAAGAAAAGTACCATACGAAAATTGAAGGCTTCGACTTTAGCATTGCATGCGAGAGGCCGATGACAGATGGCTCGTCGAGCTTAATTCTTCGACATATTTTAGTCGGCGGCACTTGAGTTACTCCAATGAAATTGGTGCTATTACTATAAATTCACTGTTCATGTTCTTCTACTTTAAAAAAAAATCCATGCAATACACAATGGGCGAAAAGATGAGCTCAACCATATTGAGATGAAGCTCACACTCAACAATTATTTATGAATTTCCTTCACATATATTCTTATAAAGATGTTTAAACATAGTTGGCACTACTACTAAGTAAGATAATTAACTGATAATTACGTATAATGAGCCAGCCGACTTTAATTGGTCATGTACAAAATAAACAGTGAAGATTTTTTTTTTTTGCGGGGAAACAGTGAAGATTAAACATGGCATAACTAAAAAAAATTAAACATGGCAAGACGCGCTAGTAGACGCAGCTGGCGAGTAATGCTGCATATTCGGATGCTTACTGTTTTTTTTAGCATCAACAACTTTATTCCTCATAGAATAGACATATCGTTTACAACTCAAAGGAAGAATAAAATCAAGGCTATTAGGCCTTATACAATGGTGAGTGCCTTAGACACAGGTGCTTAAGGAGAGAGAACAGCTTGGGTCGCAAAAAAAAAAGTTGTCTTGCAATGCGGAGTGCTTAGGGTCTGTTTGGTTCCAATAAGTCACCCGACTTATAAGTCAAGTGACTTAAAACCAGTGACTTATAAGTCACGCCTGTTTGGTTGTCACTTGACTTATAAGTCACCTGAGCACACCTTCTCACCTTGTTTTTTATGTAAAGGTGGTGGGACCCATGCAAAAATGGTGACTTATAAGTTTTAAGTTGGGGTGAAGCAACTTATGATTTATAAGTTAGGGTGACTTATAAGTTGAGTTTGTTTGGCAAAATAAGTCACTTTTTACACTTTTTGACTTATAAGTTGGTGACTTATTTGAAACCAAACAGGCCTTAGCATAGATGCTTGAGTTGCTTTAATACTCACGTAGCACCTAGCCCGGCACCTGTGTAGCGTCTGCTTAGCCTGGCACCTGCTACTATTTGAAGCTTCGCTGGATGTGAAGGAGGCAGTTATTTTTGCAAGCACCGGCTGGCACCGGGAGCAAAACTTTGCTTCTACCTACCAATCTCAAGAAAAAAAACCCGGGTTTTTCTCTCTAGCACCTGTCTAGGCACCTGCCATTGCACAAGGCCTTAGTCTCCCAAAAAAGGGTTACGGGTTTTTACGGGCTGATTAGATGTGGTTTAGTATACATGGAACCGTATGTAAAATTCGTGTAACTGAACGTAGGTCTAGCATTTTTTGTGTCATATGGGCGCTAGCTAGCCCCCGTTATATACCTAGGCATATCTTGGGCCGGGCCAAAAAAAGCCTGGTGTTGAAAAACCAGGCCCAAGCTTGGCCCAGCCTGATTGTCAAGCCTACTGAATCGGGCCTGAGCCTGGAAAAGCCTGACACGTCCCGATCGGCCCGGCTTGACTACAGCTAAAATCTTGTTTTTTCGCTAGCCCGAGCTCGGCCTGACCTGCCCATCGGTCTCAACTTTCAGGCCCGAGCTCGGCCCGTTGAGACACTCGGGCTTAGCCCGATCCAGGATTTTCGGGCCAGGTCGTCCGAGCCGGGCTGTCCATGGCCAGGTATAGCCCTAGTACGTGCCCGTATCCCATCTCTGCATTTGGCCATTAGGGCATCTTCAACATGAACTCTCAAATCGTCTGCATACAACTGGACTGCACGGTCCAGATGTGTTTTTTATTCCAACAGGGGTCTGTATAGGTCCACCGAGCGGTCTGGACGCACTTTTTCTCGCAAATTAGAAGCAAAGTTGGGAGGCTTTGTGGGAGACCGGACAATAGTCACATAGGACTCCGACACTCCAGGCCCATTAAAATCCCCCTCATGGTCCCATTATCTTCTAATCCGTCCCATTTGACCTTGCTTTGCATCCGCACCTCCTCCGATGACCACGCCGTTATACCTCTCCGTCCGCCGCTCAGCCGGACGTCCGCAATCAGCATCGACACGCCCGCTTGCCTTTTACGACGACGTCGTCCACCCAGGACCTGTCTGCATCCAGGTACACTCCGTCCCCCTGTTGATAACGTCCATGGCGGACACCATGCCCGACAGGTGTTCAGTCAAATGTCATTGAGCTAATTTTTGAACACCATGTCGTTTTTTAGAGTACAAAGGATGACGGGTACTCGACCAGGGCTGATGAGTTGTTGTGCCATGCGTGATTGGCCGCATCCGTGGATTTTGTAGGCAGGAGCAGAAGGACGCTCTTCTGGCAGCGCATGCATGGTTCGTTTCACGCACGAAAGCACATTGCGTCCTATGACATGCACATCATCCATGATCACAATGTGAAGTCGTTATTGTATCGGTGGTACACCATCCAGACCACCTTCACCAAGTTTTGTGACGCGATTGTTCGGCTGGAGGCAAGGTGGCCATTGCGTGCTGCAGCAGAGGGAATCGAGTTTTGCTTCTTTTTGCTCAACTTATTAACTGAATCATCCATTCACTCAATTTTTGTCTACACATAGATACACTGTCACCAATAATACACCTAATTAACTCACCTGACGTGATTGGCTGGAAATACTTGACTGGTGATTCTTTATGGAGACATGACGAATAATTCCTGCGCTGATCAGACAGCCCGGAGCACTTCCAACTTTCATTTTGTTATATACAGTATCTTTCTCCATAAACTATTACTGTATATCTCCAAGGATCTCGTCAGTCTCGTGGCAACTAAACTAATAGAGCAAATGCAGCTACAAATATACGTACACACCGTGGTTGCTTGGCACAGGCAGCAGCACGGCGCGACCGATGGCCGCATCGATCGGAGACGACGACCTGGCCGAGCCCATCGTGGTCTCCTCGCTCCCGCTGGAGACACGGTTCCTGCCGCTCCAGCTCCGGCAGCACGGCGGCTTCTGGTTCCCTGAGACGATCCTCCCGGGCATCGCGGCAGTGCGTGCGCGGTTCGCGCCCAGGCCGTCGGACGTCTTCCTCGCTAGCTTCCCCAAGTCCGGCACCACCTGGCTCAAGGCGCTCGCCTTCGCCACGGCCCACCGTGCCGACCACCCGCCGCGCGCCCCCGACCACCCCCTCCGCCTCCGCAACCCCCACGACTGCGTCGAGTTCCTCGAGGTGCCCTACGCGCTTGATCCGACGGCCGACGCCTTTGCGGCGCTCCCTTCGCCGCGCGTGATCGCCACCCACATGCCCTACCCCCTCTTACCAGAGCGGGTCACGGCGGAGGGCGCCGGCTGCAAGGTCGTGTACGTCTGCCGCGACCCCAAGGACGCCTTCGTCTCCATGTGGCTGTTCGCCAAGAAGATGGCGGCGGCCGCTGCAGCCGAGGCCGCCAACGACGACGAACCGCGGCCAGTGCCAACTCCGTTCAGTATGGAGGAGGCCTTCGAGCTGTTCTGCGACGGTCGATGCCCCGCCGGCCCGCAGTGGCCCCACGTCTCGAGCTATTGGGAGGGTAGCCAGAGGCGGCCGGAGAAGGTGCTCTTCCTCCGGTACGAGGAGATGCTGCGGGACCCGGTGGGCAACGTGAGGAAGCTGGCGGAGTTCATGGGGTGCGCGTTCTCCGAGGAAGAGGAGGCCGCGGGGGTGGCGCGGGACATCGTCGAGCTCTGCAGCATCGACGCCCTGAAGAACATGGAGGTGAACCAAAGTGGTGCTCAGGAGTACGTCAAGAACGAGGCCTTCTTTCGGAAGGGGGTCGCCGGAGACTGGAGCAACCACATGACGCCGGCGATGGCGGCGCGGCTGGACGGTATCGTCGAGGACGCACTGCAAGGGTCAGGGTTCGCCTTTGCTGCCTACCTATATGTACACATGCACGCCGATGCCAGTTGTGGATGCATCCATACGTAAACTATTGGATAGGTCAATCTTCTATACTTAGAGCATCTCCAACAGGCGCCGAACGCGCCGCGCGCAAAAAACAGCTTATAGCGCGCGCCCATCGTCTGGTTTGGCGCGGCGCGCAGCGCTGGCTCCAGCAGCCGCGCTAAAATGCAGCGCGCGCGCCGCTTCAGTAGCACGCAAAAATGCAGCGCACGCAACACTCGCACAAACAACACATGCATTCAAAAACAGAAGCAAAAAGATCAAAACAAACAAAAATAAATAGTTCAATTTCGTTTATTACAACTCAAACAAATAATTTATCGTTCAATACAACAAATAGTGCAATTAAACACAACAAATAGTTCAACAATACAATAACGAACGCACAAATCATGATGCTCTTTGTCGTCCATTCCATGCGCGCGTGGTGCGGGGAAAGGCCGGGGAAGCGCCGGAACGGTCACC